GCAACAATGAAGTTGAAGAGACAACATCCAATAAATACAAGCTACCATATGCTCTACCATTATCAATCATTTTTCCCGGTTCTAGTTCCCCAAACACACAATGAGTAGGGAAAATTCTGGTAGAGCAATTTAGGGAATTAATAAGACTACTGACTGGAAGTAAATTAGTAGAGAAATTTGAAACATGAATATGTGAAAGAGAAATAGAGGGAGAGCACTGTATAAAACCTTTTCCAGAGACACAAGATAAAGATCCATTAAAAACTCTTATTTTATCCTTACCAGAACAAGGAAAGTAAGAATAAAATGGATCAGAGGAACCTGTTATATGGTTAGTAGCTCCAGAATCAATTATCCAAGGAGAAAAAGAGACATTGAGTGCATATGCTGGACTACCAAGGTGAGCAAAGTTGGAAGAAGCCGATGCAGAGGGAGAAACTATGCTGGCTGAAGTATCAAGTTTAGCCATCGGACACCTGAGAGTGTGCATCTCATCCTAGGATAGAGCAACCGTATCAATAGGAGGGCTCTCAGAAATCTCAGAAATTTGAGCCTGAGATCGCACCGTACCACCATGAAGAGCTCTATAGCCTCGAGTAGAACGACCATGTGACTTCTAGCAATCCTCTAGTATGACACTCTTTCTCACAGTAATCACATTTTAATAGATCACAGTCACCAATACCAGTCTTCCCACTATTCTTGGGTTAACTGGCCTTACCATCCCGTGAAGTAGGAGTAGCAAGTAAAGTAGAACGATCTTGACTAGGAGTGTATACCATAGCACTACATTGGTTTTTTTCTCTTGCTGAACACAGGCATAGGCCTCTCTTAAGGTGGGGAAGGGAGATTGATTTAAGACTTAAACTCGAATCTGATCATACTCCATTTTAAGGCCAACAAGGAAATCATATACTTGCTCTTTCTCCATCATCTGCTAAAAGGTAGCTACATCTGCAGTACAAACAACCTGAAAACTCTGATAATAGTCAAATTCTTGCCACAAACTACTCAATTCTGCATAATACTCAGTAAGAGATTTATCTTTCTAATCTAACACACGAATATTCTTCCTTAGTTCATTGGCTTGTGCATCATTACCCTTCTGTGAGTATGTCTGTGCACTGTAGACCAAATCTTCTATGCCGTGTCCATCAATACGAAGGTGCGACTAATTGATGGTTGCATTGAGTTAATCAACTAAGTTATGACAAAAGCATTCTCTGATCGCCATTACTGCTGTGCTGGTCCACCTGTCATAGGATCCTTGAGAGTTCATATGGTATAACCTGTTAGGCCCACAGTAATAGCCAAACTACAAGATCGTGACTAGATCAGATAGTTGGTGCCATCCAACTTAACCGGACTAATTTGAACGGATGGGCTATCTACAAAAGTCCCAACATGACTCAACCCATTCGCTTCACTGCCTCCGAAAGTCTTACTATTGTCTCCCATGTCCACCAAATAAGAAGAGCACCCCAAAATATCAAAATTGGTTCAATAACCCACAAATTCCAAGGAATCCGTACAAAGACCAAGTTACTCGTGCAATAAAACTGAAAGAGGGGACCAAATCAGATCAGAAAAAGGGATAAAATGGCTAAAAAGTTGATGTTTTAGCAAAAAAACACAATAAAACCCTAAATTATATCTCATTATTCAAAGTATAACCATAATTGGTACTTTATTTCTCTAATTATAACCATAATCGGCATTTTATTTCTTTCTTTTGATGAACTTTAAGCATATTTTCATTTGTTGCGAATCTTGTGATTCAAATTTTTTTTTTTTGTAATAGAAATATGCAACCTCCACTCCTTTTGAAACTCTTATCATAAACATAAAATAAAATATTAATTAATGCAATGTGTATGGATGTTTGTTTATATATAATTTCAAACAATGGTAAAACTATTGGAATAAGAGCTCGGAAGTGAATTTCGACCCAAAATAATGTACCAATTACGTCCACTCCCATGGCACCGTGTAGCTAGCATAAAAAGTATCATACCGCGTACCTTTAACTGTATCACGTATTTGGACTATTGGGAACTAATATCTATGGAAAAGAAATTTTTGTATTAATTGCATATGAAAATCATGTATTGGGCTAATTTAATAAACCCATGGTCATAAAACTATAAGTATCCTTGGCGGCGATAGGTATCCTGGCGTGCCCCTCTTATACTGTTTAGAGAAATGCCGTTTCCGCGTCGTGTTGTATCCCCCTGTCCATGTCTGTTCAGTGTCCATGCTTCTTAGCTAGAAACTGCAGGAGAACAATGGTGATATCTGAATACAAAATGGAACAACAGATCGCAATTTGGCTCTGATACAATGAAAGCTTAGGTCAAATGAGGTAAAAAATAAAATGACATGAGTAGAAGAGAAGGAGAGAAGAAAATTGTCTTCTACACTCTAATAATCCATGAAGTGAAAAATAAGTGCAAGAGAGAATATAAAACTTAACAGATACAACTTAACACTATTGCTCTGCCAAAATCACTTGTGCATTTATGAGGACAACACATTATTTTGTCAACTCTTCCATTTTTTCTATCTCTATCTCTTTATTTTATTAAATCTTCTTCTTCTTTACAGAGAGCTCAAGACTTGGCAAATGTTACTTCTTATCGGGAATGGGTACTATTTGGCTATCTTGTATGCCCTGACGAGCTTCTTAGAGTCACCAGCATCGACATTGCTTTGGTACTTTCCAGCTTTACTTTACTATGTTCTGAAAATTATTTTTGTATTTATTGCTTAGTGAATATCTAGCCTACAGAAAAAGAAGAGGATTACTGATCAAAACCCACCCCCGTGTGTGGGCGGCAGGAGATGATGAGCAACTGAAAATTTTGATCTTAGAAGACTTCTCGTTACATTTACACACAGGATAGATTAGGAATACAAGGACAACTGAATGTCTTGAAATTGATAGGTATTGAAGACATTTTGGTTTTCCTTGCATAGGATGTAAGACAATGGTGGTGGCGTCAGACATGGAGACAACATGTCCAACATGGCAAAGAGAACTGCCAAAAATGGAGAGTGGGTGTTCAATAGCCATTGATGAATCCTTAGTTCTCATTGAATCTTTTTATTGTCCTCTTTTTTCCCTCCTCCACAATTTACCTTTATGGAATATGAATGAGAACTTTATTTTTCATTTCGAAACTGAAAAAGAATGGGTGAAACGAGGAATAGAAAAGTGACTAGTTCACCCTTGAATGGGGAGATAGTCCATATATAGCAATAATTGAGAAATTAAAAAAACGTTAATGGCTCTGACAATCCCTCTCAAGCGGGAGCCTAGACATCAATGATGCTTTGTTTGGTACAAACATCTGAAAATTATCCCTTGCTCAAGGCCCTTGTTAGGATGTCTTCTAACTGAACACTTGGCCTAATAAAGGATGTAACAATTTACTTTCGTATCACCATATATAATGAAATAAAAATCAACTTCAATATGTTTGATTTCTAATAAAATACAAGATTGCCGGCAATATACATAGTAGATCAAAGAACATTCTCATAATCTTGCAACTAGATACCCCTATCTATTTTGACAAAAATTAAACCCATAACACCTCAAAAGCTATTTGAGGCACAACTATGTACTTTTTTTTTTGATAAGATGAATATTATTATAGAAGGAAAGAAAAAACAAAATACAATGTTGAGGACAATATCTTCAAAAAAAAAAAAAAGAAAAAAAAACAAAAGAAAAAATATATTTCAAAAGAGAAGATGTACCATACTTTGTTTTACTTTTCCACGTAGCAAGGTTGCCACCAACACACGTGCAAAACCTGGGCACAAACCTTTGGTCTAAATGATCACTTGCCTAATCAACATCACATAAACCAACTGCTTCCACATTGTGACAAGTGTTAGGGGGCAAAACCCTTTTGTAGGAGCACCCTTCAAATATCTTAAGATGTAGTACACTTCTTCCCAATGATGCTTCTTTTGACTCTTCATTAATGGACTAACTACTTCTATAACAAACCTAATGTTTGGATGTGTGACAGTCAAATAAATTATTTTACCCACTAGTCGGAGATATGTTCATCAATCAACAAAAAAATCTTCTTCATTTCCTATTAACTTGGTAGTTTGGATACACCAAGTATCAGCTGGTTTGGTACCCATCATGCCAGTTCCATCAAGAAGACTAAGGACATATTTACTACGTGCCTTTGATATTCCTTCCTTAGACCTAGCTACTTCCACACCTTGGAAGTAAGTTGTTTCTCCAATCTTTCATCAAAATGTATTACCTTCAACATCATCATTCTACATAGACCATGAGAACAATAGTACCCTTCTCACTATGCTTGACCAAAACATAATGATCAGACATTATTCTTTTCAACTGATGGGTAGCAACTACAAATTTATCACACCTAATGCTAGGAGACTATTTAAGCACACAAATTACTTTCTTCAACCCACACATCGTCCATGACACACTTGAGCAACATATCCCAAAGGTTGCTCCATTTACATTTCTTCCTAATGATTACCATAAAGCAAATCATAAAGAGTGAAGTGTCCAACTCTTAGCGACAAAAACAATAAAAGACTCAAACAGAGTTGAGATGAGCTATTGGAGAGAAGGTTCGAAGTAATCAACAACAAATGCGTAATTATGACTATTAGGCACCTATCGAGCTCTGAGCCTCTCAGCAAACAATTTAGATTATACTTAACCCCCTATATCCATAGACATTTCACTACATGGTGCTCTAGAGGAAAATAAGTTAACTCCATATGCCATTTTTTCAAAGTCAAATGCCTTCTCATCCATACCACTTTTCCAACCAGGAGAAGTTAATGAATATGTATAAAACGAGAAAAAAAACATAGGAAAATTAATAGTAAAGTGATGTTGCGGGGGATAGATGAAAAAAAAAGAAACAATATGACAATAGAATGTTGTGTGCAAGAATTACTTACTTTGTCGAGGGTAATGGGAAGATCCAACAAAGATGGACCAGGTACGTCAGTTGAAGTGTATAAAGAGGGAGGTTTTGCAAGCGGCTCTCCATTTTGTACCCAATGTGGTCATCGATGATGCACTTGGAAGTGTTTGTCTCACGGGAGGAGAATGGACAGAGACAATAATCGGAGGAACTGACAAAGGGATAAAAGAAGACCGATGGATAACAAGGTCTAAGGAAGCACTTGTAACTGAGAATAATGATGTAACTTAAAAGAAGGTAACATCAACACTAACAACATAATAGTGAGAATGACGATTTCAACATTTTTCTTCTTTTTGAGTCCTAGAATAACAGGGAAAAGCACATTTAATAGTTGTACCTTTCCCCAAAATTCTGTGGGATCATGTATTTGAATTATAAGGGTTTTGGCAATCTCAAAACAATATCTATTTTCACATTTCACATTTCACATTTCACATTTCACATTTCACATCTATTATGTTTTTTTGGAAAGCACAACTCTATTATGTTGAGGAGTATAGCCTCTAGAACTTTGGGGTGTAATGCATTGAGAATCAACATAAGACCGAATAGGTACTTGAACATATTCCAAGGCATTATCAGATTGTAAAAGTGAGTATTACTACCAAACATAGGTTTATGAAATAATTCAAATATAGAAGCATTTTTTGAATGTTTTTTCATTACAAATTGCCATGTCATTCTTGATTAATAATTCAACAAAAGATAAATTACGAGAAACATAATAAACTCTTCTGTCGAGATGCACATCAACTGTTAGTAGGAACTCACTCAAAAGGAGTGAAACAACGATTTTTTTTGCCTCACCTAACTGACAGGCCTCGCATTCCAAACTTGACAAAGAATGAAATGATAGAAGCAAAAGCCTCAAAGACTCAACTATGGGATGACCAAGCCCGCTACACCATTGATGGGGTGAAAACCCATGCATGGGAAGATGTAAGAAAGGTAGTAAACATCATCCTTCCCATGACCTCCGAGAATCTTCTTCTTCGAGTTGCAGTTCTGAAAAGCACAATTAGAGGGATAAAAAGATGCAGAGTTAGAGATATAGTAAGGTTGCTAGTAGCTAAAAGATTGAAGGGGAATTCCTAAGAATTACGAACACGGACACGAATATGGATACGGATACGGGACACGCCGACACGAAATTTTTCAATAAAGTAGGACACGGACACATTGACTATATGTTAAATAATATGTATTTATATATATAATCATGTGATAAAATAAAATAGTTACTAATTTTCATCAATTTTCAAAAGCCCCAATTTTGTAACCCCATTTTTTTTACGTTAATTTCACATTAGAAGTTTATTCCATTTATATATAACTTTGTATTTGTATCCAAAATGTAATGATTGTAACTTCTTTTATATTATGATTGTCACTTATATCCCATTACGATTATAAAATAATTCTTAATTATAAAATTATTTGAAAAATTCTCAAAAAAATTAAAAATAAATCTCAAAACGTGTCCGGAACGTGTCAACTGCATGTCTTGAAAAAAATTTGACACTCATTTTAACGTGTTCAAGCGTGTATGTGTCCGACACCGACACCTTGCCCAAAATTAAGTGTCAGTGCTTCCTAGAAGAATTTAGGCACACAAGGTACTCAAAATAGACTAAGAGATGGAGTGGGATGAGTTATGCCACTATCATTAGCTAAAATAATATATGCTTTAGTAGTCCCATAGTTTGAATTAGTAAATAAGTAGTCCTACAATTTGTGCGCAGAAGCTCCATATTTTATTATTATCCATGGGGTAAATGGAGAAGGTGAGAAACATGCTATGACACTTTGATGAGCAAATGTTGTGGGTGTTGTGGGCCCATAACCCATAGCTCCTGGGATCATATGCTGGCTCTAATACCTTGTTGAAAAGAGTAAAAGAAACATGACTAGGTAAACCTTGAATAGACAGAGCAGTTTGAGATGTTTAGAACTTAGAACTTACAAAAACAACACACTAACAGAGCTAACAAGAACCAAAAGACTCTCAGTTTGTCATAGACTTGGAAACTGAGCCCAAAATCACATATATGTGTATTTTTTTCCCATCTCCCTATGAAACAAAAAAGTAAAAATGGAAAGAAAAATACAATATCTTGTAACTGATATTTTGATTTCATATTTTTTTTTAAGTTTTCTTTCTAGGTTTCTTCAGTCGCATTGGCATGCATTGCATTTTTATCCTTATGAACAACCCTAGGAAGCACAAACACTTCATTCTAGGCAGAGTGTCAGTGTCAGACACTTCTGGGACACAGACACAGACACAGACACAGACACGGACACGGACACGGACACGTGTTGGACACATTAAAATGAGTGTCTGATTTTTTTAATGTTAATTTTTTTCAGGGCATGTTTTGGACACGCAGTCAACATGTTTTGAGATTTCTTTTTAATTTTTTGAGAACATTTTAGATAATTTTATAATTAAGAGTTATTTTATAATTTAAAGGGATATGAGTTATAATCATAATATATAAGAAATTATAATCATTACATTGAACGTTGGATGTGAATGTAACATAATTTTGGATATGAATACAAACTTATATACAAATGTAATAGACTTTTAATATGAAAGTAATGTGAGCAAAAATGAGATTACAAAATTGGGGTTTTTGGTAATTGATGAAAATTAGTGTTACAAAGTGGAACATTTTTGAAAATAAAAGTTGTAGTAGTCATTGATTGTTGAATCACGAATGTTAATTTTGAATGTGTATCGGTAATGGTACATCTTATATTGTACTTTTTATGCAGTGATATATGATATGAATTTTTAGGGAAATGATGAATTAAAAGATTATTATGATAATATTTTTATTTTATCACATGATTATATATACACAAACACACACACACACACACATATATATTTATATATAAATAAATATTATTTAATTTATCACCAACGTGTCCGTGTCCTATGTTTTTAAAAAATTTCATGTCAGCCTGTTCGTGTCGTATCCATGTTCCATATTCGTGGTCGTGCTTCAACAACCAAATTGATTGAATTTCCCTCTTAATTCTTTAGACACTTATATTTTTGCATAAGTCACCTTCATCCCCCATCTCCATGCTTGCCAATTCTAAGTGCTATTATCATTGATACACGTGTTGTTATTTTGATTTTTTTTACGTCTTGGTGAATGTGTGTCTACTATCAGCCTTACTTGTGCATGCATTTTTTGACCGGGGAATATTCTTGCTAATCTTTCCTATTGGATAGTACGTCAAAAAGGAGGAAAAAAATTATTTTCATTACTGTTGCTTCCTTTTCTTTTTTCCTGACACATTGTTTCTGGTGCACTTTTCAGGTTGTACTGAGGGAAAATTTAGTTCTTGCGTTGTTTAGGGATGAGGTAAGTTCTATAGGTCTTTCTTTGGTAGAGAATTCTAGAGGTCTGTTAGTATAAATATTTTTTGAACCAAAATATTTGATCATTTTTGTATGTTATAAGCGCAGTATATACTTTTGCATGAGGAATATCAATTATATGTTTTGCCCCGGGTCTTGGAATCAAAGAAGATGGCAAAATCTGGACGTACAAAACAGAAAGAAGCAGACCTGGAGTATAGTATTGCAAAGCAGGTTGAGAAAATTATAAGGTATTGACTCGAATTGGCTTTAAGTGTGAAACTTGCATTGCTTCGCAAGAGATATAATGAACAGGCAGGACACAAATCAGTGGTGAGGGTATGTAATAGCTCTGTGCATATGTAATCAAACATTTGATTACATCAGATTTTTTAGGGTGTTAATGTGTAAATTTTTGCTATACTTGATTTGATAAAAGCTCTAGCAGTGCCTAATTTATTGTTTGCGGGGTGGTATAATTGTGAAAAGTTATTTCAAACTCATGAAGAATAGCATCACTTTTGTAGACCTAGTATTTCAGGAAATATATAATTGGCTTAATGTTTTGGTATGCTATATGAATCATTGTTTCAAGGTACCATTGGGATGTTTACATGACTTCTAACTTAGGAAGCATGGATACGGGCACGATACAATATGAACAACTATATGGAATGATATGTCAGTAAAAACGTATTTTCTGTATTATATGCAGTAGGAATTCAATATTATAAAAGGTATTGTGGATGATTTATGGATATATAGTCAAGAATAATTAATATTCTGTGCAAGCAAACCTATTTATAGTGTAATAGATACTGTAACATCCATTTAAATAACCCATAAATCCTAATTGAACAAACACAGTACCCATTTTTTTTTAGTTAACTAAATGGACAACTTCTCTAAAATGTCAAAATATATAACAAATTATTGCTACATATTTAAGCTGGTGTCATTTTTTCACTTCCTAGATTGGTCAAATGTTAAATTTAAGAGTAATGATATGTAATTATTGTAGGGCTTATGCCAATCAGTCAATTACTTAATAGACCATCTATTTTGAGGGCAACATTAATTTTTTTGCACAAGAACCCTCATATTTTCTTTTAAATTACTTATTTTGACATTGCGCCAAAAGCGATTATTAAATTATATAAAACTCCAATTTTTGGCCACCTTATCCACACATATCTAGATTGGCCGCTAATCCTTGGCA